CCCCCAGGGCTGGGGATGAGCCCAGGACACGGGGGGGGTCTGGGCTGAGAGGGTACATTCTGAGGACCCATAGAACAACAATAATCTTTGAAATGAGTTAACAGAAGGACAATAAAAAAAACCAACATATAAGACACGTCTCCAGAATTTATTGACATTTTCAGAATTTTCTCAATAAAACCTGTATTCTTCTTTATAGAAACAACAGTCTTCTTGATGACAACAGTCTTAATATCAGCAAGCATCTTCTTAATAGAAACAAGTGTCTTCTTAATAAAAATATCTTCTTAATAAAACAACTATCTTCTAAATAAAACACCTATCTTCTTAAGAAAAAGTTATCTTCTTAAAAAGAAACCTTATCTTCTAAAAAAACTATTTTCTTAATAAAAGCCTATCTTCTTAATTAAAAATCTATCTTCTTAAACTATCTACTTATAAAAACAACAAACTCCTTAAAACATCACTAATATAGAACTTATTTACAGAAGAACATGTAAAACATATGTACAGGTGGTCGATTCCATGACCGGCAGGTCCGTCAGTCCTGCAAGAAAAGCAAGGGCACGGTCAGTGCAGTCGGGCCCTGCTGGGCGTTCCCTGTGCCCCCATGTTATGACCCGCCCCAGGAAAAAGGGGGCAGAGGGGGTAACCCAGGTTTTATCAATAATTCCTTTGAGGTGGATTAAAGCGAAACGACACTAAATAATCGGTGTTTGAAAACATATATTGACAAGATTTATTCTAACAATTCTGTATTAACAGGCATGCTAGCAGTTTGGGTGCTGTCATACAACAATGTGACACAGAGATAGCCTTTGGGGAGGGAAAGAAAATGCATAGGGGAGAGAAAGGCAGGATAAGAGCAAGGGAGAGTAAGGGAAAGAAAAGCTGAGAGTGGACAGATGTATATAGTCACCGCCCACGGGGTCCAGCGATGCTTCCATGTCTGTCAGTTGAAGTGGTGGCCTTGATCTGCTGGGGGTGAAGGGGGGAAGCCCCCATACTCTAAGAAGTTATGAGTTATTATATCACGGGCCATGCCTCGAGCCTCCAACATCTCCTGGGTTTGTGCTGAGTTTTTTTTGTGTCTCGCCCGGTTCCCGCCTTTAGGGAGGGAGGGGCCTGATTGCTCATCAGATGTATCAACAGTCAAAAGCCTGCGAGCTCGGCTTCTTGCCTTTTCAGGGCTTCACACCTTCAGCACTGGAGGGAGGGAGGGGCCCGACTGCTCATCAGAGGTATCATGCAAGTCAAAAGCCTGCAAAAGTCTCCTAGAATGCATAAATCATTAACCATTTCAGTCTCTGACACCCCAGCCTGGCCCACGCTGGGCACAGCGGGACTCTGGGGCCAGGCCTGAGCCCGGCTGGGGATGGGAGCCGGGCCCCAGGCGCTGCCACGGGGCTTGTGTGGCCCAAAGCAGGCACAGGGCAGGCCGGGGCTGGGGCTTGTGCCGCCACAATCCAGGGCACGGGGCACCGTGTCCCTGAGCGGGGCCACCCAGCCCAGCCCCAGCCTGGCGGCAGGTGACCCGCTGTCCCCGGGGCAGGGCATGGCCAGGACAGGCCTGACCTGCTGCTGATGGGGGATTGTCCTCATCCCAGCACCATGGCCTCCTCCTCATCTTTGTCATCAACATCCATGTCCTTGATCTCCTCCAGCACATCCAATTCCATCTCCTCCACATCATCTACTATATTGACCTCAATCATCTCCTCCATGTCCAACACTACATCTATGTCCATCTCTTCCTCGCTGTCTCTGACACCCTGCAGCAGGGAGCACAACCTCAGAGAGGGGCCCCTGTCCCACACCAGCCCCACTGAACTCCAGCCTTCCTGGGCAGTCAGGGGTTTCCCCTCTCCATGGATTGGCACTGTACCTTCACTGGGACAAGGCTGCACATCCTGCTGGGATTGATGATATCCAGACTGCAGGCGGACTCAGGACTGATGGATGTAGCAGAGAGCACCTGAAAACACTCCACAGGGAGCAGGGTGAAGGTTTGCCTTGGACAAGGTGACAGGGTAGAGCTGGGAGCTGCTCAGGGGTCGCTGGCAGCAGGGAATGGCTGCGCTGTGGTCATCAGTGGGCACTGGCAGCTCCACATGGTACCCGGGCTGTGACTGCACAACTTGGGTTTTTTTCTTTTTCCCTTCCTCCTTTATCTCTATCTCCACAACAACTTCCACATTCTCTTCTATGTAGAAGAGGGGATGTGGGGAAGGTTGTGGATGTGGTCTATCTAGACTTCAGCAAGGCCTTTGACACTGTCTCCCATGATATACTCCTGGAAAAGCTGGTAGCCCATGGCTTGGACAAGTGCATCCTCTCCTGGATTAGGAGCTGGCTGGAGGGTCGGGCCCAGAGAGTGCTGGCGAATGGAGCTGCATCCAGCTGGCGGCCAGTCACCAGTGGTGTTCCCCAGGGGTCTGTGTTGGGCCCAGTCCTGTTTAACATCTTTATTGATGATTTAGATGAGGGGATTGAGTCCATCATCAGCAAATTTGCTGATGACACCAAATTGGGAGGGAGTGTCGACCTGCTGGAAGGGAGGAGGGCTCTGCAGAGGGATCTGGATAGACTTGAGAGATGGGCTGATTCCAATGGGATGAAGTTCAATAAAGCCAAGTGCCGGGTCCTGCACTTTGGCCACAACAACCCCCTGCAGCGCTACAGGCTGGGCACAGAGTGGTTGGAGAGCAGCCAGGTAGAAAGGGACCTGGGGGTACTAATTGACAGGAAGCTCAACATGAGCCAACAGTGTGCCCAGGTGGCCAAGAAGGCCAATGGGATCTTGTCCTGTATCAAAAATAGCGTGGCCAGCAGGAGCAGGGAAGTGATCCTTCCCCTGTACTCAGCACTGGTGAGGCCACACCTTGAGTATTGTGTTCAGTTCTGGGCCCCTCAGTTCAGGAAGGATATTGAGGTGCTGGAGCGGGTCCAGAGAAGAGCAACAAGGCTGGTGAAGGGACTGGAGCATAAGTCCTATGGGGAGAGGCTGAGGGAGCTGGGGTTGTTTAGCCTGGAGAAGAGGAGGCTCAGAGGTGACCTCATCACTGTCTATAACTACCTGAAGGGAAGTTCTAGCCAGGTGGGGGTTGGTCTCTTCTCTCAGGCACTCAGCAATAGGACAAGGGGGCACGGGCTTAAGCTCCACCAGGGGAAATTTAAGCTGGATATCAGGAGAAAATTCTTTACAGAGAGAGTAATCAGGCATTGGAATGGGCTGCCCAGAGAGGTGGTGGATTCACCATCCCTGGAGATTTTTAAACACAGATTGGACGTGGCACTGAGTGCCATGATCTAGTAAATGGACTGGATTTGGACCAAGGGTTGGACTCAATGATCTCGGAGGTCTTTTCCAACCCAATCAATTCTATGATTCTATGATTCTATGATTCTATGATTCTATCCTCTTTCATATCCACTTCCACTCTTTATTGAGCTTCCATATGAGCAGGGCTTCCAGCCTGGCTGGCAAGGAGCCAGCCTGCCCAAATTGGGGGGGGGAAGAAGGTGAGAGCAGAGGGCAAGGGGGCTGCCCCCATCCCAGCCTGATAGGGGACCTCTCCTCACCCTGCTCAAGTGTCTGCTCAAGTGGTCCAGCAATGTCCCTTCTCCACCTGGGGCTGGGCTGGGTGTCCTGCTGCCCACACACACCTCCCAGCTCTACCAACTTCTGTGCTGACAACTGGAAAAAACAGGAACATTGCTTGGGCTGGAGCCTGAGTAAGTGGGGAAAAGACACCCCCAGGGAATGGCAGGAGCCTCCCCCTGCACCACAGGGATGGGCTTCATCCCTCAGATGCCCCCTGGCACAGATTGGTGCTGCCAACCCCATCCAGACTCCCCTACTTTGCCCCACCTGTGCAGGTGCTCCTTTCTCAGCAGCCACATTCCTTTGAGGGTCTTTATGGCTTTTGCCTCCCTGCTGTCCCAGGCTAAAATCTCCCCCACACTTCCACGGCCAGCCCCTCGCCATGGCTGTAACCCCACGCTTCCATAACCATGGAATAACACAGCCCATGGCTGCTGGCAGCCAGCTGGTTAAACACAGAACTGCTTGTGGTACCCGGGCCAATAAACAAATGACAAAGGATGCCCTCAGTACTGCTTTGGCCTGGGTTTTTAACCAGGCGTGACAATCACCTGCAGGAAAAGCTGGGATGGTTTGTGGGAACAGTGAGGTGTTACAGGGATGGACACCCCAAAAGGTGGGATCAGGCCACAGGCAGATTGAAGGAAGCTTTGAAAGGTATTTAAGGTGAAGACTTCAAATGAGACTTTGCAGTCAAAGAGAACAGCTGGAGATGAAGCCCCAGCTGCGGGGTCAGTGTTTCTGCCCATGCAGAGAAGCCACCATGGCTTGTGGCTCAGGGGTGGGAGAGGGCAGGGGTGAAGTGTGGAGGAAGATAATTAATTGAGCAGAGAGCCGGAGGATTAGTGCTAATACCCAGCATTTCACCAAGCAACGCTGCAGGACCTGGAAAAGATTAAATTGGATTACAAGTGTTTCAGGAGATGTGCTGTAGATATGCAATGAGAGAAATGATCCCCCTGAGCTTGGGGGACAGAACTCCTGGCTGGGGAGGGGAGAACTGAAGGGGATGACAATTCCTCCTGATCTGCCCCATGCCTCAGGTGAGCAGGGGGTAAAACACATAGTGAGAAAGAAAATGAATGCTGTGTCCACTTCAAACCACAGCTGCTGTTTGCCCCCCGCAGTTGGATGTGGAACAGGCTGATTTAGGTACTGGGTTATGATTAATACAGCTTGGAAAAGAGTGATTCCCCCATCAGGGCTGGGGGCTGGTGAGGATGCAGCACACAGAGCACGGATGGGGCACAGGGAAGAGTGTGATGTGATTCAAACTGAGCTTATTTTCAGCCCTAGAGCTGCTGATTGAGTTCAGAATGTCCAGGTTTGAGGCTGAGCACTGGAGTTCTGCTGTTAAAAATGAACTGCCAGGTGCTGTCAACAAGACCTTATGAAGTCATTAGCCAGCCTGTGGAAACCAGTTTTCCCTTACACTACCACCTCCCTGCCAGGTGCCCATCCATCCATCACTCCCAGCTCCGTGCATCCATCTGGGTGTCCCAGCACCATTCCCTCCTGCAGCAGCATTTGGGCAGGGTGAAGATGCTGCAGATGCTGTTTGGGAGAAGTTCAGGTGCCTGGCTGCATGAAAAGCACTTTTTTTGGTGGAGATGGGCTATTTTAGCACTCGTAGTGCTGACAAATGAACGGCACTGGCTGGGGTCTGGTGGGGTTCAGGCACTGCAGTCCCCCAAATGTCCCTGCTCCCCCCATGGCTTATCCTGCAGTGGGCTCATCCTGCCCTGACACTGCTCCCCTACCCCAGCAGCACTTCCCCTCCCTGCACTAACCCAGCCCCAGCCAGGCCAGGGCAGGGCACAAAGAGCTGATCAGGGAGGGGACAAAACCACAAAGCTGAGAGCCAAGTGTGACAGGCACACTGGGGTGCAGGTCCTGCCTCACTGCAGCCCCACAGAGCCACACAGATGCCACGGCAGCTTCACCATGGCATGGTCATGCTGGCACAGAATGGGGGGGTTGCAAACACTCACTTGCACTGGGCAGGGAGGGAGTGGGTGACACCACAGCACCCACCCTGGGAAAGAAGGTCCCTTTCCTTGCAGCGTTGCTGTGACACCTTTGGGGATCAGCTTTGCCATGAGACCCGGGGGACACCAGCCTTGCCACAGCACTCAGCAGTCTGCAGACTTCCCATGAGCAGAACTGGGGCAGGGATTTCCCAGTCAGACACTGGGATGTCACTCCCAAGGCTCAGTGCTGGCCCAGCTCTGCCTGTGGGGTGCAGTCCCAAAGAGGACTCAGCCATTCCTGGCACATCCTGAGCCCCAGGGACAAGGAGGAGAAGTCCAGGACAGACATCCCTGAGCACTGTTTTGCCATGAGCTTTGCTGAACCAGACATCAGCTCAGCACTGAGCACCCATCATCCCCTCCAGGGGATGAGCAGAAGAAAGAGGAGACCTTCCCCTTGCCTCAGCCAAAATCTTTGGTTACAATTCAAGGCAACAGACCTGAGCCAGTCATGCCCATGATGTCCCCGAGCCCCAGAGCTGCAGCAAGGACGGTCCCCAGTTCCTCACTGGCCACTAGGAGTGATGGGGACCCCAACAGCACGTGTTCAGGAGAAGCTGCAGTGCTCACTCAGTCTTTATTCCCACACTCCCATCACTCTCCCTGACCTGGAATTGCTTTTGGATGGATTGGTAAAACAAAAGCACCCCAAACCTTCCAAGCAATAACATGAGCTGTGGTGCTGAGATGGAGTTGACTGAGCACCTCTTGGCCTGGCTAAGAGATGGTTTGGCAGGGGAGAACCATGTCAGGGGAGGGGTTGGAGGAGGTGGAAGATTTGTCACACTCTCCAATAGTGAACACTAGAAATGTGCCATGGAGGATTTTGCAGTGAGACCAGGAGATCAAGGCACAGGATGTGCCACTGTCACCCAGCCCTGACAGCTCTGGGCTGGGCAGGCATGTGAGAGGAGCATCCCTGATCCCCAAAAAGCCCTCCCAGCAAAGCACAAACACAAACACACACACACACACACACACACACACACACATCCACCCACCCTCTCTGCTCTCTGTCCTTTTGTTCTTCCTATTTTACTTTGTGCTTGTGTCCCTTGGCTCCTGTCCAGGGGATATGGATGGTACCAAGTGTGCAGCAAACAAAAGGAAGTTCTCCAGGACTGTATTGGCTGGATTATCTGAGATTTGTCAATATTTGCTCAGGACTGAAGTGAAACAGAACTGAATGAGGCTAAGAAATAATGTCAGGTATTGGGCTGGGGAGAGCTGTGACAGCCCACAGCTACTGAGGCATCACCAGGTGTTCAACTAAAAATGTGGGTT